GGTGGGGAGAGGGAAGGAACTAGAAGCTGTTGTTTTATTCTGGGCAGACGAGCTGGAAGAAGCTCACCCCATAATGGGAATATGTTCAAAAGGGCATCAATTCAGGGTTATGAATTATTAATTTCGGGTACTGCCCCCACTCAGTAACAGTTGGATAATTTGGGTATATATAGCCCTTAATAGGACCCCTAATCTAGGCTGTTACTGGGTGGGGGCAGTACCCAAGTTATGAACAATTAATCACCATAAATTGCCCATTCTATTGGAGGATTACAGAAGGACTATTTGCGGACCCCCCAAACCGGGGCCCTAACTTCTTGAAACCCCCATACGGCCATCACAACCCTGCCAGAATCCCTACGACTCCCAAGAATCTCCTTGTAGCCCCTCCCTATGTCCCCATAGGTTCCCCAAGGGCCCCCCTTTCCGAGAACCCTACTTGGAGGCGCATGGGACTTAGTAAATACTTATAACTGGGATGATAACCCTACTTATAATTGGAGTAACCCCTATAAGACCATTTCAAGGGACTATAAGTTACTAAATCCCATGGGCCTCCAACCCTAAACTCGAAACCCTTGCGTAGTACAGGGCTCCTGGGACCTGGATAGCGTGGCGGGCGCGCTGCAACTCGGTCTTCCATGGCCGGGGAAATTGTTTTCCCTTTTTCTCAGAAATTTGGGCTCCAGCTTGGGGATCCCTATCAGAAGGGCTGTACAATTTTTAGGGTTTGGGGTTTAGGGTTTAGGGTTTGGGGTCTAAGCAGGGTATTAGGATCACTAAATGCTCAGCACGTACGACTGCCCAGTAAGAGTCGTCTTCGAGGTCGCTGTAGGACGCATCTGGGATTTTTCTGTAGCGCGGTACGTACGGGGGCCTCAATTTCCTAGCGGCATAGCCCATTTCCTTCATGTTTCAATCTTCCAGGTGTGGCTGTAGGCCGCATTTAGAAAGCCAAGATGAGTTGCACTTTGCTTTCACAGGCATCCCACGTATCCTTACAATGAACCTTACTTGGAGTTTCAGGGTAATTTCCGCACAGCTATAACCTAATTAGGAGCCGCCATGCCCCCCCAATATCGTTGAAGTGGCAGTTGGAATCAGGTTATTAGTTAGTGTAATTTACGGATACTATGGTACCCAACATAGGGTAAGATTATACCTTCCTTTGGGGTAGAGTATTCTACATAAATAATATATTCTTACGTTCAACCACCGAGAAACGCTACTTAAATGTTCGACGAGCCGTGTTCCCCCTATAGTCCCCCTTAAGTAGATAGAATATGGCTTTGGGTATACTAGAATAAGATCCCCATATACCCTATATTCTATCTACTTAAGGGGGACTATAGCTATAGCTATTGTTCTGGGTAATGTGGGGGCCGGTTTTAGCTCTAGGGATGCTTACTGTTTAGGGTTTAGGGTTTAGGGTGTAGGGTGAACAAGGCAATGATTCATGATGGGGTTATATGATATAGGATTCATATTCCTTTGTTCCCTACGCACCACCAGGAAGGATATTATGGTCATAATTTAATGGAGAATCAAATGGAAGAGAAAATGGTAGATACGATGGGAAAGCGGGGTTATGTAGGGGGTTACTGTGGGGATAGTTACCATGGCTATGGCCCTAGATGCCTCGTATACTTATGGAAAAGGGTAGTTCATACAGACAACAACATGTTTTGGCCAGTTATTCAGGCGTCTGTATTGGGCCTTCATTTGCGGAAGTTAGGCTTCGAGATTTTGATTGGTGGATATTGGTGGTGAGTACAGGGTTTACGGTTGTCTTTTCGTGGTTAATCAAGACTCAAAATGGGCACTGGGTTCCCTACTGCCCTCGGATTGTATTTCTCAGCCCTTGCCTAGGGACACTGAAATTGTCTAGGCTTTCGGTGGCAATGCCATTCCAAAACTCGACACCCTGTTTGGGGATCTTGAGCCACAGGCTTTGACTCCTGTGGTCTGTACAGGATCTGTACGTGGTTCCGTTCAGTTTAGGGTTTAGGGATTTTCAAGTTGGGTAACAGCTTAACATCTACATCCTCGAAAACAAGACCAGACTGGCAGATGTCATTCAGGAGAATTAGGCTTCATAAGCAGAACGTAGCAGCTTGAATAGTTCTTGGTACTTTCATTCCCCGACAACCCTTATAAAGCTGTAGTATATTGTACCCCAGGCCTTATTCCAGTAGTTTAGGCCCATACAGTAGGCCAACTTGGACGTACGCTTTGGCACATCTAGGCCTGGTCTTTCCTGGCAAAGCTGCCACGCACAGAAATCCTACTCTGAGTCATTATCGAACTTGTTTCTTCTCGATGTATTAAACCCAAGAAGGCAAATACAGCTATTCTTTAAACGTATATTCAAATGAGCCGTGCAGTAATCCTGGCAGGATTCACGTGTAGTCCCCTGCGACAGACAGCTGAAGCTTGGCCCAAGCCATCCGGCAAGAGGGCCGAATTTGTGCCTCCTAGAAGTTCCCTTCCCTGACAATGCTGGGGTTTGAGGTTTAGGGCTTGGGGTTTAGGCTAGGCCGATCCTGGTCCCAGTTAGACGGGCCCCCCACATTACTCAAGTGGTGTGCGCCGCCATGCGTTTTGTTGGCCGACGAGGCTAAGGCAGGACGAGCGGACAGGATCAATTCTTTACTTCCTACTTCTGGCTAGCAGAGAATGACAGAATGGTCAAGAAAATGGAAACTGACATAGGCCCTTAGGTCCTTCGGATGGATTATAAAAAAATATTGGGTTCAGTTTTTTGGGGGCATGGGCCAAAACATGAAGCAATTATGAGATCCATTCCGAATCCATTCCTTCACAACCAGAGGCCCGTCGAAAGGGAAGTGGTGCAGGCTGTTGGCATTACTAACTTAGGTAACAGAAGAGCTCTAAGCTTTTCAAGCTTCCTTCTTCGGGTTATGTATAAGTGCTAAACGCCAAACAGTGAGAGCCTTTTGGCCTGGGATACACGGAGGGAAGCTATGTATTTAGATTAAGATCCACATGGGCGCTCACACGCAAATTAAGGCCTCTCGAAAAGATTGCTGAGAGTACTATCGCTTCTATAGTTGGGGCCTGCTTCTAGAAGCTTCCAAAGTGGGGCAAACCCAGTACCTGAACCCTAAGTCTCGCAGAGAACCTTCACCGCCGCAGGTGGCCCTGCTGGCGGCCAAATTTCCAGGCCCTGCGGTGTAATTTTTCGGTTCGAAGGTATTCTAAGCCCTAAACCATGAGGTATAGGGCTGGGATCTTTGATATGGGGTAAGTCAGCAGAGGCGTGCCACGTAGGCCGCTTTTAAAACAGAGCAGTAACACGCTGTTTCTAAGCCCTAAATGCTAGGCACCTGAAAGCACTAAGACCTAAGGCCCCAGGGACACAGTCCACACTTTGCTGCTTAGAATTTAGGGTTTAGGGTTTAGGGTTGAGGGTTTAAGGCCCTGAGGTCTAAGTGGGGTTAAAGGAAGGATGAAGCCTTTATGTAGGATTTAAGCACGGAGCCTTGGACACGAGATTAGGTCATACAGTCCCTTCAAGTCACATTTATAAGCCTGACCCATGATCAAAACCTTAAACCTAAACCCAGAACCCTAAATCCCCTAAACCCCTAAACCCCTAAACCCCTAAACGCCTAAACGCCTAAGCCCCAACCCTAAACCCTAAACTTATGAGGATGGGCTAGGACCGAAATGCCAGTCCAGGAAATTCATGGCCCATGCTTCATAGTTTCGAGTAGCCACTCAGGCCTGAAATGACACCACTTCGCCTAAAGTTATGGCTTAGGACTTAGGGTTAAGGGTTGAGGGTGCAGGGTTTAGGGTTCATAGTCTAGGGGCGCGAAATATCAGAAGCCATCTCTATTATATTGACTACCCAACCCCTCCCTTCAACTGGCACCTCAACCACAAATCCTAAACCCTAAACCGATTCACCTGCTGTACGAGCTTTGGCTTTTCGGTAGAGGAATGTTTCTTCTCACAGCTTACTCATTCTTAGTAGGGAATAAGGGAATAACATCCCTACATAGTAAACCTTGGCTATACTTCAAACATATTCCCATATTCCCTACCAACCCTAAACCCTATCCAAAATATTTTTCCATATGCCCTACTAATAACCGGTAAGGCAACCCTTCATTGAACTCATGAACAGCGAGGCTTGGGGTTTAGAGGAATAACGCGGGTTTGGTTACCCCAACCCTATACAACAGGGATCCTATGAGCTTAGAATTTAGGTTAGGGCTTAGGGTTGCCCAACTGATCCTATGACTAATCATTATCTTTGACTCCTTATAGGGTTCGCGTGGTAGGGTTTAGGGTTTAGGGTTAATGCGGGTTACCAACGTCTTGTTACACTTGACATAGTCGTGCAAAGGCGATGCTGTCCTGCTGAATATGCATGTTGCCATGCCAACAGATTGTGCACTAGGGCAATAGCACGAAGTACGGTAACAAGGCATCATAATGCCACCCCAAACCCTCAACCCTATATCTTACATCCTAAGCCTAGCGAACTATGTCAGTTGTTGAGAGTTATTTCATACCCAATTTATTCGCAGTAGTTTGGATTGCTTGAGAGCCCCATTTGTCCCTTGCGCATCCATGGTGCGCGTGGGTAGGATCCAGTTGTTTCCGAAGTTAACAGAATCTTCTTTGGATGAGCTGCTGACGTTCAGAGTGCCCAAGCAAGTTGTCATCCAGGACTCAAGGGGCAATCCACTTGGTCACTAGTAGGGTATAAGGTTTAAGGTCTAGGGTGTAGGGCTTAGGGTCTAGGGTTTAGCGTCGAGGGTTTCGGGTTTAGGGTTTGGATTATTCGGACATTCTTGTCATGTTTTCGGGTCTCCAAACAAACATATCACGGGACAGGAACGCAGGAAATCCTCCACGTCAAGCGGCGTACGGAGGGGCTAGTGTGGAGGTAGTGCTACGAAAGCCTGAAGAATCCAGCCGCGTGCAACATTCAGGACTATCGGCTCGGATGCCTGAACTACAGCTTCATGTTTCTCATCGCGCTTTATATCTTTGGATGGCAGATTGTGTACAAATGCGGATACTTGGAGAAGCCTGATGTAGGCGTCAGTATGGTCAGCACCTTGCGTTTGCCGAATGTCACCCTCAACTACAAAGACGTACCTTACTGTTCTGACACCAGTTCTTGCACCTCGGATGCAGCCTGCCCATGCCGCAAGTTTCGCCCAGAGGAAGTGTTGCGACAAAACCAGTTGACAATCAATCTTGTGACATCTGTGGCATACATCAACTATGCGGGCGACATCGGCAGGGTGGAGTACGTTCCAGACGTGGAGCACTATGAGCTGTTAATGGAGCCCACGGTTTTTCAACAGCATCATATGCCTGGTATGGTGAACGAGGTTGTGCAGGGGTACCAAATCCAGGGGCGATTGTTCGTGGGCTCACGTTCGGCAGAGCCAAACGCAATTCATAAAGATCTCTGCCGTGAAAAGTCCTTGGTGAAGGATGGTGCCTGGGCGTATCCGGATGGCCAACCCACAGATCGAGCACCTTGCTACTCGTATCTCCTTAGGAATTGTTGTTCATTGTATTGTCGTAGAACCCCAAAGAACGATTGACATATAGCTTGTGCTTTCTAGTCCTAAGGGTCCAAGGCCCCAATAATAGGGTGTTAGGGCCCAAGCACTCTAATATTAATGGTATTTGGGCCCTAAACTCCTATTATTTGGGTCCTTGGACGCTTAGGGTAGGCCTAAGGGGACTACAGGCTACATTTTAGCAGATGACAGTGTGTTGGGCAACGATGTGTTCAAGGTGTCAACGCTGCTTCGTTCCATGGGCATAACCTTAGACGACCTCCGCGGTACTGCTGTGTATACCGGGGAGAACAGGACTTTACGCAGGAGTGGTTTTACTTCTCTGCTCGCCTTGGAGGTTCGGAACTACAAGTACGGGATGGGGCTGCTTCAACCATATTACATCATGAACTTTGAGATGGCTGGAAGGAAGCAGCATCATTTCTCACAGTACACTACGGTAAAGCGCGGAGACAGTGTTGAGTTTGCTCATGAACCTGGATTCCCTCTTAATGCCTGGTTTTTTTTGTTGAGGGAGGCCCCTTTGTGGGAGCGCCCATAAAGAGTCATATAATATTAGGATCGATATTGGGGCTCCTATCGAGGGAAACCCCATCATGCTTAAAGGTGCATGGAATGTGCTGTCCTCCAGAAAAACACGGCCAGGTTATCCCCTACTCGCCCTCTTTCCTCCTGCGTTTAGGGCTGTAAGGGAGAGAGAAGCGGGTTTTTACAGACCATCCAACATGCCCCCAGGCTACTTCTACCTGCGCGTATAATCCTAATTATAGCCTCCCCAAATGGACTTACATACGTTAGCCAAAGAACAAGTAAGGCTATAACAGGATGCCAATCAAACAAAACTTTTTTCAATCAAAAAAGGCTCCAATCAAGAAAACATACAATCAAACAACTTTTCTCCTGAAATAAAAGCACAGAAAGCAAGCGGGTGAGAAAGACAGAAGGGAAGGAACGGCCATAGAAAACATCCCCAACGAGCTTTTCTGTTGAATTATAGACACGGACAGCAAGCGGGTAAGAAAAGACAGAAGGGAAGGAAGAAGGAAGGATGGAAGGAGGAAGGAAGGAAGCAAGCCAGGAAGGAAGGACGGAAGGAAGAGAAAGGGAGGAAGCGATGGAAAGCCAAAAGTTTTTTTTCTTGTTTGTTGCCAGCATTTTTCGCGCAAATCTAAAGAGCCATGCCTACGGCAAAGTCATCACCATGTTTGTAGTAGGGCCAGGCTGTGCGGATCATTTTGTTTGCAAATGTGGGGCGCTGTGCCACCCCCCTCCCAGCCACCACTTTTTCAAGGCAAGGTTCTGCGGATCATTTTGTTTGCAAATGTGCACCCCGCAACCCTCCCACGTTTGTAAAGCCATTCATGGTTACAGTAAAAATGAATATCATCACCATGTTTGCAGTAGGGGGGCGGTTATGCGCATCGATTGTTTGCAAATTGGGAAGGCTGCGCGCCCCGCAAGCCGCTTTTTTCAAAGCCATCCATGCTTAGGGTAAAAAAAGCCATCACTATGTTCGCAGGAGGAGAGGTTTGAGGCTCGTTTTGTTGGCAAATGGGGGGTTTGAATGGGGGGGGAGTGGATGGAGACGGCGATTTAGGGGCCACAACATACATCGGCACACCCTAGACAATTCACAGTTGGCATGCTGCGATTTACAATATCTGCAGGCTGTAAAGAGCTTTGAATGCTGTGACTTGCAGTATCTACGAGCTCTCGGTCAGCTCCCAATGCTATAGTACACAGTATATTTGTGCCCAATGCTGTAATTTGAAATATCTGCAGCCTCTGCGCAAGCTAAATTGCTGCAAGTTGCAGTGCCCGTGATTGTCCAAACTTGTACAAGCCACCAGAGGGTGCAAAAGCGACCACAGTTACGAGGATCGCGAGCCCGACCCTTCAATCTCTGTGACTGTTGACACTTTCCAGATTCCGAGAGGATCCGAAGTTCCAAAAAACAACGACAGTTACAGGATCGCGAGTGCGATCCCGGCGATCTTTGTGACCGCTGACATTTTCCGAACTCCAAAAGGATCAAAGGATGCAAAAAAGACAACAGCTACGAGGATGGCGGCCCCGACCCGTCAATCGTTTTGACTGTTGACACTTCAAATTCCAAAAGGATCCGAGAGTCCAAAACAGCGACGACAGTTACGAGGATCGCGAGCCCGACCCCTTGAATTTCTGTTACTGCTGGCACTTTATGAGTTCCAAGAGGATCCAAGGGCTAAAAGTCATGACAGTTACGAGGATTGCCACCCCAAACCCCCATGATGCTTGTGACTGTTCTGCATTTCACAAAAGGCAGGCACAATCCAAGGCCTTTTCATTTCGTTTTCACGAGCAAACAAAACTGAAGACAGTTCCGCAATTCAGAAAACAAACGTTTCCTGGATCGAGAAAAAGTTTTTGATGGTCAGAAAGTTTTTTGGCCCTTGTGTGCCATAACCCAGATATAACTGGACACCAAGCCGTGAAGCGGTTTTTTCACAAGTACACATAGCCAACAAGAAGCACGGCAGCCACGTGTTGCTTCAGCTAGACTTGTTGGTGCGTTATACACCTCTAGCAGTTTTAGCGCTTAAGCACCCTTGAGGTTTTTTTTCTGCAGGCTAACAGATCTAATTATCGACACGTGGTTTACTCCATGGCTGAGCCTAGGAACACGGCATCAACATCGTCATTGCGCCCAGCGGGACAATTGCAAGCTGGAGCCGGCAAAGCACCCTCGATGTCTTAACGACGCTTTGACATCTGGGGATTTCCAAAAATTAGCTAGCCTTTCTGAAGAGTTTGCAGATGATGATGCTGATGATGATGATGATGTTGTTCAGGGTTTGCGCAACCTAGCACGGGTTCTCACCCACCCCCAAGACAAACCACACAAAGAGAAGTCGACCACCAGAAGGAAGTTGCCAATTCGAGCACCCAAGTGGAGGGCATCCGCCTATCGAGGACTCGCCAGAGCAAAGTCACCAAGCCACCAGCCAGAAGGGGAAGCCACGGCCCCAGCAACCTTACCCAACGCAAGCGCAAAGGCGGACCACCTCAATCCCACCGAGTGAAGCTCACCAAACAGTAGCCAGGCAGCCGCCGAAGACGTGCAAAAGCAGGAAGCCCAGGATGAGGACAGCCATGAACAATATCACCTGTAAGACTGCAACGATCCACCATCTGTACAAGTGGCCATGCCTCAACCATAGAAGATCACCAGGAGGTAGCCAACCTGCAGGAGCAAGTAGTCAAGCCTGAAATCAGTCGTCAGGGACAAGACGAGTTGCCGCCGCTGAGCCATCCATACACTGTCAAAAGTATGTAAACCTTGTCCAAAACGTGAACGCCCAGAGAAGGCGAAAGCCACTAGCAGGCCAAATCAGGTAGGAAACCACATGCTCACCATGCAAACCGCATATCCTGCAGGAGATGCTTGTCACCACGCCGCAGGGCACTGCTTTGTACATAGAATTAACTTCGAGCTCATGCCATTCTACCTCACGTCCACAGGTCCATAAGTGGGCCGCTCCAGCACAGTACGCGTGCAACAACACCTCCCAGGCATTGTTGGTCATTGCATCTTCATACAGGGTATCTGCAATGTGCCCCCCAGCCCTCGTGCCGGTGATGCCAATCATGAAGTCCCAGGGCTCCATGCCGGTTTTTTTCGGAAGAGTCCGCATCTATGGTAGAGATCATTCTAGTTTGGGGCACATAAGTGGGATCATCATTTTCAGAAATGCCCATGCCTATATAAGGGCTTCCTGGTCCCACTATCAGCTCCTCCTGGTAAGTCCCAGAAAGAGAATTTTGATTTGGCTTCGCGGTAATTATGTTGAGACGGCTTGTTCCTACTGTTTCTGGCAACAACAAAGCCTTAAGCCTGGAGATGTTTGGAAATGGCTTGGAGACCTACGTAGACCTTACCCTACAGCTCTTAAAGCTGTCTTAGGCTTCGTGGGGGGAGGTTTGGGCTTTGGGGGCTATGGTTTTAAGATGACAGTACAGAGGGTGAAAGGGCCAGACTTGAATCCAGTGGTCTGTCGGCAAACCTTATTGCCAGGAACGGCCTGGCACTCCTGGCCGTGTCCACACTTGTTGTAAAGCAATTTGCGGTCTACTGTTGCCGCCTTGGCCACGTCTACAAGAAGGCACTCCAAGGGTAGTTTCTGTCTCGGGTCTAGGGTACGCTGGAATTTCAAAAAGGATGTATAGAGGCTGCGTAGGGACATAAAAGGATATAAAAGGCTTTTGGATTTGGCTTCAAACTTCAGGGTTGGGTATGGGCAATTGCCTTGGTTTTATAGCTGCTCACAACGATTTTTTGGATTTCCCCTTGAGAATAACGCGGCTCCTGGTAGACTTCCAGCTGGAAGTATCCTGACGACATTGGAGGATTGAGATTTGGTGAGATCATAAACGGATAGGTATTGCAAAAAGCAAATATATTGACCCTACAGCCAATGGGGTAGCAGTGACCAGACAGGCTATGACCAGAACGACGCCGGAGGGCCACGCCATGGAGCGGGTTGCGCCTTTTTCACTTCCGGGTGACAAGTCTTTCGTATTATACTTATCTGGTTTTTCCTTATCCTAAAAGCTACGGGAAGCCAGAACTCTTTGTCTCCGGGGCTCCGACACAGCTTAGACTTTTAGCTGTCGAAATTCCCCTGGTGTAGGTGCCACCTTCAGACTTTGCACTTGAAACTACACAGCTAATTTTGCCGATGCTTTATAGTTTATGTAATTTGGTACTCGATTCTCAGCTGGTTGGCGGGTTGGCGGTGGTGGTGGCGGCGGTGGTGGTGGTGGTGGTGGCGGTGGTGGTGGTGGCGGCGGTGGCCGTGGCCGTGGCCGTGGCGTGGCGTTGGCACGTTGGCAGTGGGGCGTTGGCGGTGGCGGTGGCGGTGGCAGTGGCAGCTGTCGTGGCGGCGATGGCGGCTGGCGGCGGTGGCGGTTGGAGTCGGAGACAGAAACTGCATATGCGGTGGCGGTAGCGGTGGCAGTCATAATAAAGCCTCGCCCGAAGCCCGCATACCCTAGAACCCCTACACCCTCAAGCCCAGAAACTTTAAACGAACAGTTACTCCCTCACAAGCAGCGTACCCAAATACGGAAAACACATCCCTTAACTGTAAGCCCCGCCCCTTGGACCCCAGAAACTTTCAGTCCCACGAGCAGGAGAAACTCATGGATCGTGAAGAACAAGACCTAAGGGAGCGGCACGAGTCGAAGTACAAGCATGCCCAGGGCTCCGTCGAGGAAACACCTTTTTAGGTGTTTCAGGGTTTTTCAAAGTCATATTGCATGTCTGCTTAGAGTATGGTCTAGTGGTATCCTGAGAATACTTTTAATTTTTGCTTGCTTCCCTTCCAGTAAACATACATATAGACTCATGTTTTGGGAAGGTTCCAAGGTGGACTGAGTAGAACCAGTTAAGGTATTAGTTAAGTAGCAGATGTGCTAACAAAAGGGTTAGCCGAAGGTTTCCGAAAAACGGAAGTCACTCTGCGGGACGTCCCTGCAACAAAGATTACAGTGTTCTTGGTG